TGGTTGTTGTTTTGGACTGGTTGTTGTTTTGGACTGGTTATTGTTTTGGTAAATGGTAAATGGTAAATGGTACTGAACTTATAGAGCGCTTTTTCAAGTCCCTCCGGACCCCAAAGCGCTTTACACTAACAGACATTCACCCATTCACACTCACATTCACACACTGATATTGTGAAATATTGTTACTATGCCCATGTTTAGTTGACCTGATACAAATGTTTATCATCCAGAAACAGTTGTGGTCACAGGTCTCTGCTGCTGTTATTTTGTGGGTCAAAAGCTGAAAAGTTTGGGAACCACTGCACTTCAGAAATCAATTTAAAGGGTAATAAAATAATTGGTGATGTAATATTTTCTCTTTAATTAATACAAAAACACAAAATAAATATAAGTATTTATATTTGTGTAGCCTTTGTTTTTAGGGTTATTAACAAAGTTTGTGTACTCAGACCAGTAATATTTGGGGTCACAAGTTTTTGCCATGGATATTTTGTGGGTCAGAAGATAAAAAGTTTGGAAACCACTGCTATAGAGAAGCGATTCTTGCAGGAGGCGCGGCCTCTGCTGAAGCGTGTGTGTTGTCGCTGTGAAGGAGGCTAAGCTAAGAAGCTAACTGGAAATCTCGTGTTCTGTAAACAACCCTGCTGAGAGGAGAAAAGTACCGAGCCGAACAAGACGACTGTAAATGAGAGCTGCTGCTTTTTAATTTAATTTGGAAGCCTAATCAACACGGACTGGCTTCATTCACTTCCTCCACTGCCGTATGCTAAACTAACTAGCAGACACCGTGCAGAAAATCGACGTTCTGTTCTCTGATTGGCCCGGCTTAAAATCTGCCAGCGACATCATTCTCTTTGGGAGAAGTCCCAGACGGAGCAGAGAAGGGAAACTAGAATTGAGCGGAGCTGCGTAGGAAGACAAGGGCCAGGCTACCTCAATGGTATCTTTCTGAAATGAGTGACGGCTGAAGATGGGCATCAGAGACCCTGAAAAGAAATGAAAACTAGACACAGCAAAGCAGAAACATGTATGACCCCCAGAACTCAGAACTCACTAGAACATATTTATTGTCTTGGGTGGGGGTCCGGGGTATGTGAGGGGGTGCTCGTTGGTGGGCCCGATAGATAACCCTTCAGAGCTAAACAACACAAAAAAGTTAAAATTAAAATCTGAAGCTTCGATGTTAACAGTTTTTGAGTTATAAGCATTCTTGTTAGTCCTGACACCCCCTTTATAGATGGAGCCCCCGCCCTCAAATAGGGGGTCCATTGTAAAACCGTTGGCTGGCTCAGTGTAGGTCGAACACGTTGACATTTCTGCTAAATTTCATGTTGATCAGTGCATCTATTTCCATACTATGGTTCACCAAAAATCATTGAAAACCAAAAAAAAAATAATATTAAAAATAACTAGAAGCACTCGGAGAGTGAAAACCTCCACCAAGACCAATCTCCCCCATCCTGTAAGAGTTAATGTGCAAAAGCAGGGATGGAAACACATTTGTCGAATAAGTTCTGACGTAGTGAACATTTAAGCAGCAGTATGCACAGGATTTCTTCTGGTGGAGTCCAATGTGAAAAAAAAGTCAGACTCGTCACCCAACGTTAATGATGGTCAAACTGGTGTGGGATTAAGCTCCTAAGTTTCCATCAGTCACATTTCACCATGTAAAACGTCTGTTTTATCACCTTGTATGAGTTTGTAATGGTTTGACTCTCTTTATAAAGTGCTTCCTGGCTCCCCCAGTCTCCAAACTTTGAGGCCCGGCAGCTCTCTGTTTACAAGCCTAGTAGAGACAAACTGTTTTGATTGGTTGTTTCAGAAATGTGGTGTATTTGAGGAAATGGGAAAAATAGGTTTCATGGTGCAGTCACGCACTAACTGGTCACAAAACGTTCTGTAAATGTGCACATTATGGCAAAAAATATTCATCATTAAATGTGGTTTTAACATTACTTTTATAAAGTTTGAAGTCCGTGCTGTCCAATCTAGGTCACTGTTTTTTACAGAAGCCCTGTGAAAGCATCACAGCTTTGCCGATCTCAGAGTGTTAAAAGAAAAAAAATTCCTGTATCCGCATCGTGATCCGGAACATCACCAAAATTTAAAGGTGTGTTCCTTGGCCCAGTAAACACATGTGGTAAAAATGTCATGACAATCTGTCCACAAGAGTTTCAGCAATGTTGTCCACAGACAGACAGACAGACAGACAGACAGACAGACAGGCAGGCAGGCAGGCAGACAGACAGACAGACAGACAGACAGGCAGGCAGGCAGGCAGGCAGGCAGGCAGGCAGGCAGGCAGGCAGGCAGGCAGACAGACAGACAGACAGACAGAC